TTTACACACAGATGTGTGCTTGTTGTGGTTCAGGCCACACGTCCAGCCTGATACTGTAACACACCAGACTTATAAATGACTCGTAGTTAACTTCGCAGCAGCGCTTCCTTAACGCTCCCTCAGACAGAGATTTCTTCCTCTTGCACAGCTGATTTCCCACTGATCTTTAACACTGCCATCTCAATAATAAGCATGTTGTCTTTCTGTTCTACTAATTACGGCCTCCTGCTGTTCCTCTTTTTTCTCTCCTCGCCTGTTCCTGACTAAATCCCTACTTTCACACCTCTTCAACAAATCTCCTACTTCTGGCTGTCCTCCTCCTCTTTCCTTTTTCCTTTTCTTCTATTTCCTCCTCGGGTGATGTCACTGGTTGCCTGGGCTCCGATTCGCTTCCGTTTCTCCTGGTCGCTCTCTGATTGGCTGCCTGTGGTGCTGGCTGGGGCTGCTGATTGGTTAGGAGTATATCCGTAGACAGCTGGAGGAGGAGCAGAGGCAGCTGGAGATCCTGCAGCAGCAGCTCCTGCAGGAGCAGGCCCTACTGCTGGTAACACAACACACAAACACACACAGACTGGTGAAGGGCAGAGCCTAACGTCGGGCTCAAAGTACCTGCTTTGATTTTTATCCAGGTTTATTCACATAAAACTCAAAGTGCCTTAAACTCTAAGATACATAATCTGAAATATCACAGTGAAAGCTTCAAGAATCAGATGACTGTTTTTTGGCGACAGTGGGGAGGAAGAACTCCCTGTTAACAGGAAGGGTTTTCCATTCAAACCACAGATGGGTGCAGCTGCCACGATAACTCGTTTGTTATTGAAGTCCTGTTTGAAAACCCTTTTTTTCATGGACATTTATAGAACCACGAGTCTTTTTTGCTTTCAACCAGAGCAGTCGCCCCCTGCTGGCAGGTAGAAAAATAACTCAGATTTCAGGCAGTAGCATGTTGGCTTAGACCCAGAGGTTACGTTGGTTTAAAAAAGCAATATTTATTATTTGGGCATTTTTGAATGCAGCAGCCGTGACGAGTAAACAGGAAGGAGAGAGCAGGGGCTGCTGCATTTTTTGGCCTTGTCGTGGTCGCGGTGGGCTAACCTGGAACTCGGGGAAAGCTTCACTGTGTGTTTTCACACAGTGGTGATCATTTGAATTTGTTTGTGTTAATTGTTAAAACATGATTCATTCACATAGGAAGGGCTTCAGGTCTCCAGGCCTGGGATTGATGCTCCCGGGTCAGTGGGAGGCTGATGTGCAGGCTAGCTGGGGAGCAGCTTTAGGTTTGCTTGATTTCTGAGCTTCGTTATGTTCTGCAATAAGTTTTAGGAGGTTTTTCCACCCAGAAGCACCTGGAAATGCCTCGTTTGTCTGATAAGCGCTAAGCATGCTACATTATACCTGGTGAAGAATGCTTCTAGCTCCAAGTTTGCTTCCTCTACCACTCACCCAGTGCTTTACAGCCTCCTAATCTAAAGTCAGTTTGATGTGCGTTAACAGTTAATAGTGTGGGGCTTTTTCTCCTGCTGAGTGGCCATCATGGTTGCCTTCTTTGTATCCTCTATCCAAGCAACTTCCTCAACTAAACCACAAAGAGTGTTTGCAGCACTTAAAGAATTCCTGAAACAACTATTTCCTGCTGAGCACTTTGAGCCAGAAGAACAACTACAGAAGAAATAATCTCCTGAATCTGTCTGGAGTTCAAACAGCACCTTTCTGTTTCACACACTGATCAGTTGATTTGTAATAGCTCTGAATCAAGGGAGAAACAGATGGACTGATTACCTTTCAACCTAACAAACAGCTACTAAAACCCAAAGTAAAGGAAGACCTCGTACTGAGCAGGGAACTCCATAAAGGCGTGGGCTGCGTTCCTAAAACTTCCACCTGATGAAATTCGTTCAGTAAAAGTCACCACTGGCCCTAAAATGTAAGACGTCAGGGCACGATTGGTCAGGTTTCCCCAGGTACACGAGA